GCCAGCCCGAGAATATAGTCAACCTTCTGGGAGCCTGCACTCACGGAGGTGAGGGGCCCTGGCGGGCACGGGGGCCCATGGCCTTGGGCTTCTCAGGTATCTGAGGGCCCCAGGGCCACCTAACTCCGTCTTCCTCTTCCATCTCCTCCAAGGAAAGGAAGGATCTCTGTCTCAGCTCTCTTAAATTCCTGGGCCAGATGCTTGAACAGGTCAAGCTGCCTGTGGATGGCAGATGGTTCTGGGAGCCCTGGGCAGTGGCTCTCAGACAAAAGCGGGCCTCTGGAGAGGGAGCTAAGAGGGCAAACCCTGGGCCCTGCTCCAGCCAGTCTGATTCTGTGGGTTTGGAGTAAAGCCCCCAAATCTATCATTTAAGAAACCCCCACCCAAAGATACTTGGACACTAACCATGGGGTCCCCAGAAATGCCCCAGGGCCTATTGGGACTCCAAGTGTGCTTCATCCTCTTCTGTAGAAGCTTTGACCTTTATGGAACTGCCATAGATTTCCTCCAAGGAAGGAATTCTTTGGCTAGAGGTTTTTATTTATTTATTTTTTTGAGATTCCTCTGCTTTAGACTGATAGGGCTTCTGGGTCCCAGTCCAGGCTGCCTCATTTCCCCCATCCCATGTTCCTGTTCACATAGAGCGTGACTTAAGGGGTGCACCACCCCATTCTCTTGGCTTCTCTAGGCCCTGTCCTGGTCATCACTGAGTACTGTTGCTACGGCGACCTGCTCAACTTTCTGCGAAGGAAGGCTGAGGCCACACTGGGACCCAGCCTGAGTCCTGGCCAGGACCCTGGCTACAAGAACATCCATCTGGAAAAGAAATATGTCCGCAGGTAGTACCTTGGCCAAGGACAGGAAGGAGGTCACGACTGGGAGGTGGGGGCTCAGATCTGTCCCCAAAGTCAATTCAGGTTTGGGTGGCTAGCGGCCTTCACATTCGCATCTGCACCATGGGTAGTAGCCATTCCAGATTAGGTGGGCAACTCAGGTTTTCTACTATTCATTCTCATCGTCCAACAAACATTTGGGCACCTACTACATCCTAGAAATACTGAGGCAAAGATGGGCAGCTTATAGTCTGGCAGAGACAGGCATTAGTGAAATGCTTACTTTAACGTGTATGTAAAAAATCAACCAAGACCGTTTGGGGTCCTAGCCAGAGATGGGCAGATCTTGGGGGTAATCACCCTATTTCTCCTATAGCATGTGCTGCTTAGGAGTAGCCAACGTTGAGTCCCCACATCACCACCAAGAAGCGGGGAGCAGAGTCTGTGGGTTGTTGGGTAAAAGGGGCAAAGCAGCATGACTGTAGCCAGGTCACTGGTCCAGAGGTTGACTCTCTCTGGGTCTTTCCTGTCCTGTCATTCTGTAATGCTGTGAGTCCTGAAAGCCACCCAGAGGCAGATGGACAGAGCCACATGGGGAACCAGAGGGAGGAAGTGGCCAGTTTTGTGTCACACATGAGTCAGGGGCAGAGGTGGGGCCTGGGCTAGATTCTGCTCTTAACTCCTGTTCAGGTGCTCACCTGAGCCACACTGCTCTCCTGGAGTCTCAGTCTTGGGGCTTGAGGGGCCTCAGAACCAGGCTGTGGGGGGCCAGGGAAAGGTCAGAATGAGAAGGGTGTATATTGGGTCCCGATACTGGCCAGTGTCAGCTGCCAAGCCTGAGGAGGCAAAAGGGGAAGGAGGCCATTTCACTTCATCAGTGTCCTTGAATATGAGTGGGAATCTACTTCCTCTTTTGATTCTCTGAAACTCCTCTGAGAGGGTGGCTTACACGGGGCCTCTGCAGGCTAGAACCTCAGGCCAGATCAAATCAATATGAGAACCAAAGTATTAGCTTCCATCTTCAAACCTGCAGGTGGAGAAAGGATTCACAGAGTGAGACAAGTTAAAGGACAAAGGGCATGTGAACCAATCCTGCCAACAGGAACCCAGGCTACATTAATAGAAGTATAGTTTCTAGATCAAGGGAGGGGATATTTGCCATGAACAGTCCACAAATGAAACACTAGGTTCTCTTTCTGGAAACGCTAGCGTATAGGCATTGTCAAGGTACACATCTCTAACACAGAGGGGACAGGAGGATGAGTGGTCCAGAACTCATCTGGTTGGGATATTAGAAGCCGTAGCGGCTAGTCAGTCTAGAGCAGTGCTTCTCATACTTACCTGCCATTCTAAGCAGGGCTCATAGGCATCCCCAGAGAGCTGTTAGAAATGCTCAATCTCAGGCCTGTCCATACCTGCTGAGTCAGAATCTGCATTTAAAGAAGATTCCCCAGGTGATTCTGTGCATGTGAATTACAATTTAAGAAACACTGCTCTAGACCAGCTGCCTCAACTCAGGCTGCACAGTGAAATCGCAGGGAGAGATTTAAAAGTGAGAATGACTGAGTTTTGCCCCTAGAGTTTCTGTAGTTGTCTGAGTATGGGGAGTGTTAAAACTTCCACAGATGTTCTTACTATGAAGCCAGGGGCGAAAGCCACTGCCTAGACAGAGAAGGCTCAAAGAAGGGGCCCTAGAATATGCTCGGATCCATGCAGGGTGGTTCTGGGAAAGAGGCAGGAGCTCATTTCTCTGTGGCCCTTCAGGGCAGAGCAAGGCCCAGGAGGAGGAGGAAAATCCCAGGGGCAGACTGGTACTAGGAATGGTAAAGAACTCTCTAACAGGCAGAGCTGCCCAAAGAGAACAGGTGTTCAGCTCCCCTCGCTGGACATCCAAGCAGAAATCAACGATCACTCAGACAGAATAGGGCAGGGGGGTTTCTTGTCAGAAAGGGATGTTCAGTTGACCCCAAGGTCCTTTCCCTTCCCTGCTGAGTGGCTGGAGGCCAAGTCCTGAGATGGATAGTGTGGTGACGGGCCCCTGGCCCTCTCTTCTACGTAGGGACAGTGGCTTCTCCAGCCAGGGTGTGGACACTTATGTGGAGATGAGGCCCGTCTCCACTTCTTCAAATGACTCCTTTTCTGAGCAAGGTGAGGAGGTTGCAGGAGGAGAGGGAAGGGGCCTCTGGGGGCTGGGCAGGGAGGGGCAGGGGTACGGTGGGTTCCCCTGACATCTCTCTCTATGCCAGACCTGGACAAGGATGGGTGGCCGCTGGAGCTGCAGGACCTTCTCCACTTCTCAAGCCAGGTGGCCCAGGGCATGGCCTTCCTTGCTTCCAAGAACGTGAGTTGGGAACCCAGGAAGGTGGGAGGAGGCGCTGAGCCCCCATGAAGCCCGAGGAGTGAAGATGAGGGGGAAGAAAGGGGAGAGTGTGAAGGGACAAGGAAGGAGCCAAACTGCCACCAAGCAAGTGGGCAGCAGCCACACGGCCTCTGGGCTGCAGCCTCAAAGGGCTTTGGGAGCAGGTGGGAGAAAGCTGTGCCCGGAGGGCGTGAGCCCCAGTCATGAGGACCTTGAGGCCTTCTGTGGCTCTCGCTGCTCCTCCTGCATCTTGGGCTCAGGTAGGGGAGGGGCTGGGACTAACCCCGCAGCGCTTCCCCTCAGTGCATACACCGAGACGTGGCAGCCCGAAATGTTCTGCTGACCAGTGGGCGTGTGGCCAAGATTGGGGACTTTGGGCTGGCTAGGGACATCATGAATGACTCCAACTACATCGTCAAGGGCAATGTGAGTTCTGGAAGGGGTGGGTCAGGCTGGGCAGGGGGTGGTGAGCTAGGGCCCAAGATGACTGGGGTCTGCTGTGTCAGGCCCGCCTGCCCGTGAAGTGGATGGCTCCAGAGAGCATCTTCGACTGCGTCTACACGGTTCAGAGTGACGTCTGGTCCTACGGCATCCTCCTCTGGGAGATCTTCTCACTCGGTGAGTGGCTGGCCCAGTGCAGGCTCAGCCCGGAGACTAACTCATGTTTGGTTACCTATGATGTCTTATGCCTCGAGGATGCTTGGTGCTCAGGATAGAGAAAGGGCTGGTGGGAAAGAAGCATTGGCAAAGAGTCTTAAAACCGTGTTGCAGCTCCTGCGTGGGCTGGGCAGACCCTCCACCCTGACAGGCACTCCCTCTGGGCTGTTCCCCCATCTGCCTGCTTGTGCAATTGCTGCTTCCTACAATGCTGCTTCTCCTCACCTGAAATGTGCACATCCTTGAAGATGCAGCTCCCACTTCTGGAGCTCTGGGCACCTTTGTAAGAATCATTGGGCTAAGCCCTTCAATGCACTCCTCCAACAACCTGTTTACTGTGGAACCCCAGCCTCTCCAAGATGTGTGTGGGTGGGGTAGGGAGCACTGAGCATGGTATGATCTTGACCTTTGCAGGGCTGAACCCCTACCCTGGCATCCTGGTGAACAGCAAGTTCTATAAACTGGTGAAGGATGGGTACCAAATGGCTCAGCCTGCGTTTGCTCCAAAGAACATGTAAGTGAAGGACCTTGGGGAGGAGGGACGCCCTGCCTTTGGTTGAAGGGGATGGAAAGGCATGTGGCCCTAGTCTCCCTGTCCACAATGTTCCAGGGCCAGGCTTCATCTCCCTCACAGTGGACTAAATAACAAGCCTCTTTTATCAAGTTCAAGGTTACCACTGGTTTCTCAGGCAGCATGGGAGATGTTCTCAGAGAAGAGGGCTCTTAACAGGGCTGGTCCTAACTTAAATGATAGATTTTTGACTCGGACTCTGTTATGACTGCAAAGAAGGGCCCTCTCATTTCTTCTGTCCAGGTGATCTACGGTGTTGGCCAGCGACTGTACAGCCTCTTAGCTGCCTCACCGTAGAATCTCAACTTCTTCCCTCAGTTGTCGAAAGACCTTTCTCCAAGGGTTACTGGGAAGATAAAATAATACATGCCAAGGGCTTAGCTCATGTCTTGTGCTAAGCTCACTTTGATTAGGTTTCGGGATCTCTGCTGGGCAGAACTCTGTAGGGGATGTGCATGTGTCATGACTCCCAGACCCACAGGCAGCCTCTGTCTTGTCTCAGATACGGCATCATGCAGGCCTGCTGGGCCCTGGAGCCCACTCACAGACCCACCTTCCAGCAGATCTGCTCTCTCCTTCAGGAGCAGGCCCAAGAGGACAGCAGAGAACCGGTGAGTGAGGCCAGGCTCCTGGTGGGCAGGTGGCTATGGCAGGCCAGGCTGGGCCGGATCACTCAGGATTGACCATCCCCTGGCCTCTCCCTCCTGCAGGGCTATACCAACCTACCAAGTGGCAGCAGCAGCAGCGGTGGCAGCAGCAGTGAGCCAGAGGAGGAGAGCTCTAGTGAGCAGCTGACCTGCTGTGTTCAGGGGGAAGCCGCCCAGCCCCTGCTGCAGCCTAACAACTACCAGTTCTGTTGAAGGGACAGGGAAGCACGGCTTCTCCCCTCCTCCAAGCTTCAACTCCTCTGTGGATGGGGTGCCATGAGGAGAACACAGACTCCGCCCTTAGTAATGTCACTGAACAGCCTGGCCCAGCTCTGAAACTCAGGAATGTGGGACCCCTGAGAGGTTGGAGAGGACCCCACTTCCAAGACCTGGGCCATCACTGCCAGTCAGGGGCTGGGGCTGAGCCCCTCCCCGCCTATTGTTCTCAACACTGTGGCCACGTTTGCTATGCCGACTGGGAGAATCCCCAGCTCACCCTCTTCACCTTGCTCCCACTGTCAGGACCCCCACACCTACCCCTTCCTGTCCCAATGGAAATGGACTGGTTTTGTACCTATAAAGTTCCCAGGAGCTGCCCTAACATTGAGAAAACAACGCTCCTCAGCAGAGTGGAGGGACCCTCTCTGCAAAGTGAGTGGAATGGGACAGTGACAGGGGACAGCTGCTCGGAGACTGTGCTTGGCTCAGACCTCTTGGAGCAGGGTGGCTCCTCTGTAAGAATCTAGCTGTAACTCCTAGTCTCTGTCCTCCTCTCCACAGCCCCACCCAGCCCTGGATCTGGTACTGCTATAATGAGCCAGATGGCAGCTAAAAGTTCAGGGTGTTCTGCCCAGTCCCCTGTCATCCTGAGCTGGAAGGCAGGGATGCGTGTGGCTGGCCACACCAAGCAAGCAGCACGCACTTCCCCAAGTTGACTCATCATAACTAACAGTCACGCTGCGGGATGTCTCTGTCAGCATTAAACTAACAGCCTTAACACAGCACCTCTGGTTCTTTGTCTCATGAAGGCCTTTGGATTCCCTGGCGCCTCCTGCCATCCCTCCTCACATCAAGTGACCAGTTCAGCACCTCCAGAGCTCAACCACACTGTACCCCACATAATGAGCATGGAACTGATTCTTGCTTCACCAAAACCAGATAATTTAATAAACTTTATTCTTGCTGGGGGAAGAGGGAGGGAAAAAAAGCCACCTACTCCACTCCTCTCAATAAATTAAATAATACACGGCCAATTCCTGTGCCCTAAGCAATCCCTGGGCACTTGAGCCAGTCCCGCTGCTTCCTACAGCCCAGTCTGCTTCCCCTTCACAGAAGGGAGTTTTTCCTACTGCTGCCAGATTATGTCATGCTGTGGGCCACATCTCCTCTGTGGCGAGGGTCCAAGACCCAGAGAGGATGTAGGGTGCAGCAGCAGTGGCCAGGGAAGGGAAGAGGGGGGATCCTCTTCCTCAAAGCTCGGGCAGAAAAGACAGTCCTGGAAGAGCTGTGGCTGACTGCTTCTGCCCCCGCAGCTATCCCCAGCCTTGGGTGCAGGAAGAGGAGGAGGGAAGTGCATTCTTCCTTTGGGAGAATCAAGAGCCCAAAGGGGCCCCTAGAACTCATGAGGCCCCCAAGGCCCTGACGCAAAGGCAACAGGCTAAGGAGCTCCTGTGGCTGCAGGCACGGGAATGGCTACCTCAGCAGCCTGCCCGCAGAGTGCCGGCCTCTGCCTTAGTCCGCCCGGAGACCTCCGCCCTGACCTGCAGCAGGCCCCAGGGGAGCCACCAGCTAGTAGCCTTCCTTCAGCCTCCCTACCCCTCTATTGGACATACTGTGTGTCCCAAGTGCTCTCGGGGTTGGTAAGGAGTGTACTAGTGTTTCTCCCAACCTCTGGAAGGTTGAGAACCAAGGACCCCGGGCCCCACCATGCTCAGGAAATGGGAGCTCTTTGGTCAGACCCAGCATCAGAGGCTTTCGACACTGGTGAACGCTCCTGCTGGTCCCCTGAATAGATGTGCCTTGGGCAAGGGCCTCACTATGGCTTGAGATGGTATAGTCCCTGTATAAGAGCCTGGTTTATTCTGCCGCTGTGGCCACCTCCTCTTCCTCACCCTCCTCCTCTGTCTCTGTTTTGATCTGAGCAACCCCAAGGCGGTAAAGGGTGTCACGGATGACCACCTCGCCAGGCTGGCAGCTCTGCACAATGTCATGAATCTGCCGGTTGACAATCTCGCGGCTGGTGAGGAAGTCCATGAGGCGGTTGTAGAGGTAATAGTGGGTGGCATTGTCAAAGGCAATGGGCCGCTGGCGGACACAGTTCAGTTTGCTGTCCCTGATGGAGGCCAGGATCGTTGTGTAGGGTGCCAACTCAGGGCACAGGGTCAAGGAGTGGTGCCCAGCACTGGGGTCAGCAGGACCGGGCTGTGTGCCTGCATGGACGATGCGCCGTGTGGCAGTCTTGGTGACAGGGTGCTGGACGGAATGCTCAGTCTCCATCATGTCTACAGTATAATGCTGGTCTAAGAGTTCTGGACAGGACACACTCTGGAAGAGAGAGAAGCCATCCGATGAGGTGGTGAGAGTGAAGGCTGTGAGGTCATGAGCCGTTTAAATCCTCACATCACCACCTGTCATGTCTCCTGGAGCAAGTCCTGTCTCCTCCCACTCCGTGCTTCAGTTTCCTCATATGATAACAGGGACGGCAACCAGAGTGGATGCTGTATTATCTGGGCCACCACTATTTATTAACACGCCTGGTCAAGTCGGGCTGGGGCTGCAGGGGGGCGGGAAGGAACTGACTCCCACCTAGGCTCAGAAGCCTCCTGCAGCACCCAGAAAAGCTCAGAACCAGTGAGCCCCAGGGAATAAGAAAAAGGTGAGCGATGACAGTGATGTCCCATCCCTCTCATTACCAATCCTCGTGTTTCTTCCTGCAAAGGGCACAGATGGCCTTGGAGGGCACATGCCTCTGGTAAAAACTATTGCCTGCCACCATGTACCAAGACACAGAGACAAGGGCTCTACCACTAGCCTGCTGGGGGACACTGGATAAGTCCATCTCGGGGGCCTTACTTCTTCCTTTTAATAAAAGGAGAGGGCTGGATAGGGTCAGTGTTTTCTAAGGCACTGTGCCTCTGGATCATAAAAGACATGCCAGACAATACATTCATAGTTAAATCCAAGACAGGGCTGGTTGGGCCCTTACTATGTTAGTGTACATGATGACTCTCAAAGGTGTCAATTTTCTAGACTTACCTGGAAGGCAACCCATTTAACCCTCAAGGTACCTGCGTGTCCTGGGCACACTAAGTAACACGCAGTGGCCTCACACACACAGGGGTTGATCAGTAAAAATTTGTGGAGTAAATTCTGGTTCCAGAGCAACATGACAAAATGCTAACAGAGAAAAAAGATGCTGGAGACAGTTCCCAGAAGGCCTTCCTGAAGAACCCGGGGGTGGACATGCTTGGCTTGCAGGATTTATTCCCAGTCCTCAAAAGAAAACTCACCACGGGCGGCTCTGTGGGGCTAGAGAAACAGCCCTGGTTCCGCCCCCACATCTGGTTGGTCAGCTCTGGATAGCAAAGGTCAGCACACAGGGCCACTGGTGTGGCCATGTCTACCACGTAGATGGGCGGCCAGTGGCGGGAAGAGGCAAGCAGATCCACATGGTCGCGGGCACTCTCGCCCCGCACAAGATACTTGGAGCCACAGACCACCTGGGGGTAGAGATGGAGGACACACAGGGTAAGAAGCTGATCCAGACAGAGTCGAGTCCTCACTGGCTTTTTCCAGGTAGATGAACAACCAGATTTTATGACTGAAGCAGAGTCCATGACATTTTGCTTCCCTCCTACTTCTGTGCCTAAAATCATCAGTTCATCCTTGCCCTCCTGAAAGAAGAGTTGGGAGCATCTAGTCCTCAACTGAGGCTGAAATACCCACAGGGCATCTGCTCTAACCACCACCCTCTTCCACTTCACCCTACCCAGTACCACCATCTAGCCCAGTAGTTCCAATCCCAGCTGCACAGCACTGGCGGCTAAGAACTGCTTAAAAATGGAAGTTCCGGGGCCCCACCCCAAAGCTAAGGCATCAGATTCTGTGGGTGGGGTCTAAGCATCTGTATTCTGAGCAGTTCCTTACTAGCCTGATGCAGGCTAGTAAACACCTCCACTGGAAGGGTCCCCAGGTGCCGCTCTATTGCTAGGCGGTCACTGAAAAATTCTGCCTCTGCTTCTTCTTTCTACCTTTATACCCACCAGGCCTGGCTTTTGCCAAGTAATACGGCCCCCACATCACAGTCCTGAGATCTATAGCTCTAACATCTGTCCCTGTGTTGTCATGAGATGGCCCAGTCACATGAATGCAACCTTCTGGGCAGGTTCTGATCTGCCAGGGTGGAGACATCCAGCATTGCCCTCAGACTCAGCCCCATGCTCTTCTTTGCTATCCTCTTACCTGATGGGGGCACACCTTGTAGATTTTACCCCCAGTGAGATGAGGCGGGGGCTGTCTAACTCTGGCTCCGTTCTGTACAGATTCATAGAGGGCCAATAGGGAGAAGCAGAGCTGGTCCTGGAGCAGAAGAATAAGATTAAAAACACAGCAGTAACGGTGCGCGGCACCAAGCGCTCACTGTAATACATAAAGCCAAAGAAACTGTGAAGGCCAGAGTGGGCCTTGGAACCTCACTAGCCCAATGTACCCTAGGTACAGATGGGGACCCTGAAGCTCTGAAAGGACCAGAACACAGACTGATCAAGCTGTCACTCTGTCCAGGCCACTCTGAGGCCTGGGTTCTTCCTACTTTTTCCAAGGCAGGGAAAGCTTCAAAGAGAAGCTAATACTTGGTCTGAACAAAGCAGCCTAAAATTTTCAATGGTACATCAGTATGAAGGAAAATAAACGTATGGCTAAAACACAGATGCAAAGACACACACAATGAATTGTAACAGCACACATTTTCTAAGAGCCTGGACAGGTGACAATTGGACATTGCACCAAGTGCCTTCCTGACAACCTTGTGAGGTAGGTATTTTGGTTATTTCCACTTTGCGAATGAGGAAAACGAGGCTCAGAAATACAAGGTGCTTATCCAAGGTCATGCACAGTAGGTAGGAGAGCCAGGATCCCCAGCCGGGGTCTGAACCCACTACCTTCAAGAGGGGAACTGACTGGAGGGAAAGGTCTCACATGTATGTCATGACCTGGCTGCCATCTCCCAGGCCTCCCTGACTGCCGGTGCCCTCTATCCAACACAGATGACCATCCCTGCCCAGAAAAATGGACCACCAGCTTACTCCCAACAGCCCTGTCCCACTGCTGCCCCAACACTCACCTTGGAGTCTTCTGCCCCAAAGGGGATGCCACATTGCCCCAGCAGGTGCTGCAGCTCCTCCTCACTGTAGGAGCCCACCTCCTCGAGTTTGCAGGCGCCCTCCTGGAGCAGCCTCACCAAGGCACTGCCATTGCCTGTAAGAGATGACAGTGCTGATGAGAGGGCACTGCCACCAGCCAACACAGGTCACAAACAGTCCCTCATGCATGAGGATGAGAACAAGGGGACTAGGCCTACAATACAGCAAGGAGTAGAAGCAGGCTCTGCCCTGAGCAGTGCCCTAGGCAGCAGGAGGTGAACTCAAGGCAGGTCTTATGACTTCTACAGAGATTTGCAGTCTCTCAGAAGTGGCTTTCTGCCTTTGAACATCTAGGGGAGATATCCAGGAGAGCACCCTTGCAAAAAAACCCAAATGGGTCAGCTTTTAAGGTTTCTCAGAACCAAGATCTCAGATGCTTACCACAACTGCAGAAACAAGAGAAGCGGCAGCTCCCATTTAAAAAATGTTCTTTATATATTATGTTCCTGAACCTAACTGACAGAAATATGTGGGGGCCTTAAAAAAATAATTCCTGGGCCTTGAAGCAGGAAACAAGAGGTGGGATCTCAGTACCTAACGTTAGGACGAACTGTCTGAGAACAAGTGGATCACGGCATGTTA